CGTGAATGAAAAGAAAATGAGGAATGAACTGAACGGATATTTTCGTCGGTCCGGAAAACCTCTGCCAAACTAAAGAATATTTGGTCATTCTGTAAGCCACGTGGTTCTTGGTTATGTTGATGTATGGCCTATAAAATGAACACAAAAAACTTGGGAAGAAATCGAGCATGTGCGAAAAAATAAATGTAACTGGTGTGGCATACATAGTTGCCACAATGTCCATGGAGGTGCAAAAACATCAAAATTTGAGTTGCTAGCAGTAAGATTGGTTCGGAGGAAACAAGTTCCTCAGCGCAATGTTCCATTTTTGTATAAAAAGGAGGTAGCTTTAGGGGTTGAGTATTTTGCATTACTTTCTGAGAATAAAGACTCGAGAGCTCAAAAAACATTTTTCATGCATCCCTCCACTTCAGTGCCAATTTAAGAAAACCATTGCATGGTACAAATGGAATTCCAAGAGATTTGCAATGTTTCATATGATTCGGGAGAGTTGCTTATATCAAATGAAAGGATAAATCAAAGCGTAAAGCATGCAGCGTTGACCAATCCCAGTCTGGGACGCGCCACAAGCTCCACTTCCATTCAGAATAGTAGCGTTTGCGATTTGGTCTGTTCAATAGATGCAGACGCAACTAATCTACAACTCAGTGCTTTTATCCTCACAAACGAGTCTGGTACCAATGAACCAGGATGCAATGCTTGGCTGGCTTTGAAGGCGTACCGTCAGGATCAAACACCACACCGCCCACGCGGTAAGCGCGCCATTTGCCAGTACACTACTTCCACCCATCTATTTCAAATATCCAGAGGAAGCAAAAACCAATAATTTTATAGGTGATATGAACCTAAAATGGAAACACAGAATACGAGCTCCAGGAAACTATATAAAATGAAAATATTCAACTAGAGTAATACAGCTAGATGAGTGAAACATAGCACGCCCAAACTGTAGGCGATGATTGAGTGATTTTTATCAAACATCGAGATTCACAGTAGAACACTTGAAGCAAAGTTACCATGAGCACAAATGGGCCGAAAATTTCAATGAAAAAAGACAAGGGTATCAAGAAGAAAGCCTTAAGTGAAAATTGAGTCTCCATCAAGCAGTGTAAAGGCAACGCAATAAAAATAACATGCGACCGAGAGAAATTTCAAAAGGGCTACGAAAAATGGTTACGTCGATAAGTGAGTTTCAATTGAAGGCGGTTAGACCGATTGTGCCACACGCTAGGGGAGTTTCATTTTTGTTGTGCAAAGAGTATTCAGTTGTAGACAGCCTGAAAATGTAACGAGTACTATTGCTAAAGGCTTTCCCGACAAACGTTGTATACATAGGTCTTACTAATACAGGTTGTAGGTTTTATAGGTAATGGTGAATGCTATAGAGAGTTCACAATGAAATACTGAGTTGTTGATCAAACTTTCGTCCAGCCGGGAATCGAACCCGCACCTGATAAAAGCAGTAGTAGCAGCAAAAGAAACGAAAAAAAGAAGAAAAGGGGGAAGAATGTGAAACATGGACTGCAGACTGACTTGAGGGTCTAAATTTTAAAAAAATAGTAATGGTTTAGCTAAAAATTAAGATCAATTTTCATTCATATTATAACTGTCATTATCAAGCTACCGTTGAAGAGAAACAGTTACCTGTAAATGGCGATGGAACGGCCCACTACTTCAGAAATTGGCCAGTCGACAACTCTGTCAAACGTCGCCATCGAAGACTCGTCAACTAAACAACGAAAAATCAACTAACTAGGAATTAAATAGAAACAAAATTTTTATGTGCGCAAGTTTAAGACGCCAAATGTCGGCTCTATTTCTCTATGAGTGGATTTCTAAAAAATCCAGAAACTAAAGGGAAAGGCAGACATAAACGAAACTAACCCCCAATTTCCCTGGATGATGGTCTAACCCTTTAAACCTCTACAACGATTTTTCCAAACAACCATACGCGAAAATTTTTTGAAAGCGTCTTAAAAAAAACTTACCAACGACATCTCCTAATGAAGGCGTTCCAAGGCCACCCTTGAATATAAACGGTGGCCCCAGACGACTACAACCATCTGACAAATCGCCGAATTGATGAATAAGGACAGCATGCTCACCACGAGGGAGACCGCTGAGTACTCCTAAAGACCTAGGGTTACTGTAGCGAACCAAACTTTTTGGAAGCAAAGTCACAGGCTAATCTCACCGCTAATTCGAAGATTGTTGGCGCTGATCTGCGTAAAACTGAAGCGTCCACTCACGGGCTTTTGCGATGGAATAAGATTTGCTGTGGCGAGCTTGAAAGGATAAGTTTGTGAAAAATCAATAACTGTTCAGATAAAGAATGACAAAAACTACACCAACCTGCTGATCAGAAAACGGATCTTTTGGAGTTACCGGGATCTCCTTCATCGTTGCTCGTGGTTCGTCATTACTTGCTGAATCAGCAAAAATTAGTGCTTTCTATGCGCAACTCAAAACGACCAGGGCTCATCCATTTTCACAAATGTGCCATTAGTGCAAATATAGTTCAAAATCAAG